AAAATGATTTTTTGCAGTTAAACTATTATAAAACGACTTTCAAAAATGAATATCTTTTTCCGTATAAAAAAATGGAAATAATTTCATTAATATGCATCATATCAAATAGCCGTATGAAGCATTCGAAATCTGTCATTTTCCTACGAATTTAAAAAAAAAGATTACTCTTCGATTATCAGGAGCCGAGATAACAATTTTTTTTTTCAAAAAATCACTGTAAAATCTTGTTTTTAAGATTAAGAGTTCCGTCTTGGCATCAATTTGTCAAAAAAGAATTGAATTTGCTGTTTAAAAAATCTCGAATTGTAACCATGAAATTTTTAGTTTAGAAAATTTTTTTTTTTTGAATTTTTACATTTTCGGTTATATTTTTATTTTACAGTTTTATTATTAAAAATTCACGTTTAAGTATGGAACGCATGTCTGGTTAACAAATTTAAGTCACATTAGCTATGTTTCTTTATTTAATATGCTATAAAAAGTCTCCAATTGGACAATTAAATGTACGGAATTATCAAGTAAAATTATTTTTGTGAATTTAATTGTAGATACAAATATGACATATATAAACAAATAATTAATAAGTAATTTGCTAAATATTAGCGTAACTGTTAAAGATATAACACTAATTTCCAAATATAAAAGTAAATTATAAGTAAGTGTTACATGAAAAATATTTTGCAACTATTGTATATTCAACAGTTACACTAACATTTGGCAAATTATTTATTATTTGTTTACATGTGTCATATTTGCATCTGCAATTAAATTCATAAAAATAATTTTGTACTGGTAATTCCGTACATTTAATTGGATACTTTTTACGGCAAGTTAAATAAAGAAACATAGCTAATGTGACTTAAATTTGTTAATCAGACATGCACTCCATACTTAAACGTAATTTTTTAATAATAAACCGAAAAAATAAAAATTCAAGAAACAAAAAATTAAAAATTTCATGATTACAATTACTTGATTACTTTGCGAAACATTTAAGCTACGTGTTTATATCTCGAACTATCTCAGATTAAAAAAAAATCAGGTTTCCACGTCAATTTATTGCTGAGAAAATATAAATTTAGCAAATTTTAACACACGAAATCAAATATGCGCGAATCGCCGAGCGGATCAATCTACCCCACTCGACTGCGCGCCGGCTTCCCTCCAGGGTTGTTTAAAACTTTTTTTTAAACAAATGTTTAAAACGTATTTTAAACATCAGATTAAATGAAACATGTTTTTTTTAAAACAATTTAAAACAAATATTTAAAACGTTATTTTTTTTAAATGTGTTTTTAATACTATTTAGTAGAAAGGTGATACTTCAGTTACATTTTACACGATAACTCGGTTTACTAGGTTAATAATAAATATTTAAATTTAAAACTTAACAATTACATTCATTAAAATGTTGTTGAATTGATTCTGGACTCGAAATTACGAATATTTATTACTTAGGACATTATTAATATAAATGTAACAATATTGCATAATAGCGAATCGAAGAGAAACATGGATGATAATGTGGCCTTCCATAAAAATAGTCTTAAAAAGTTAGTTTTGTTTAGAAAACAGCAGTTTGGTTATAAAATTAACAAAAAAGTAGAGTGTATTGCAGAATATATGCATGTATACAAATGTATATATATATATACATACATATATAACTTTAAGTATACAAAATATTTGAAAAATAATGATAAATCTTTCGCATAGGGGCACAATGGACTAAACTGAGAAGAAAAATCCTCTATCATTTTCGCAATAATTAACAAGGTATTAATTGATAAATATTGCCGAAAATTGATCTTTAATAATTTTTTTACTCGAACTTCAATTTTACTACTATCAACTTTACAGAAAAACTGCAAGAAATAATTGTTAATTTTCTTTTCATAGAGTTCTAAGAATTTTTTCAGAATTTTTTCAGTTTTTAATACCGTATTTTCTTATATTGGTAAAAATGAGAAAATGTACTAAAAAGTCAATAAAAAATTCTGAAAAAATTCGTGGAGTTCTATGAGAAGAAAATAAACAATTTTTATCTTTTGCAGTTTTTCTGTAAAGTTGATAGTATTTGAGTAAAAATTACTGAAGGCTAATTTTCGTCAATTTTTAGCAATTAATAGTTTGTAAACTATTACGAAAATTGCAAAATAGTATAATAGAATACTTTTCTCCTCAGTTGAATTTATTCTGCCCTATGCGAAGATTTATCATTATTTTTCAAACATCCTGTATATAAGCAGCTCAGTAGCCTATCAAAATCTAAAGTAACGTAAATTATAGATTAATATTAAAACTACAATTAGTTCAAGGAATAATTATTTTGAAATAAAAATCTCAAAAAAGAAACCGTGAGTAATCAATACGCGTAAAGGACCACATTAACAAAATACCATTGTTAAATTTGCATAACTTAAAATGTACCTCAGAAATTTACGTTTCAAAATACTTGAAAGTAAAAATACGTTTTAATAAAATATAATAAATATATGTTTAAAAGGTGTTTTTTTGTTTTAAACGCGATTTTTTTCTAAAGCTGTTTAAAACATATATAAAACATTAAAAACATGTTTTAAATAAAAAAAAATTGAATTTTTTTTTTTTAATTTTTTTATCAATCCTGCTACCCTCACTCCTCCCGGCGCACTGCCTCGCTTGCGTTCTTCAATTTTTTAATAGTTTTAAACAAACTTTTTTGGCAGCAAAAAATTCGAGTTTTTCAACAGCAAAAATTCAATTCTTCCTTGACAATTGGTACCAAGATTGGTGCCAGACCGAACTCTTAATCTTAAAAATTAGAGCCACAGTGAGTTTTTGAAAAAAAATTATTATTTCGGCTCCTAATGATCGGAAGGTAATACTTTTTTTTTAAATTCGTAGAAAAATGTCAAATTTTGAATGCTTGACTATTTGATATGATGCATATTAACGAAATTATTTCCGTTTTTTTATAAGGAAAAAAACCCACTTTTTAAAGTTTTATAATAGTTTAACTGCAAAAAAATCGTTTTGTTATTAAGTGAACGTGATAGTGCAACTCTTGAAGAAGCAAAATCCCTGTAAATTGCTGTGCGACTGTTCAAAGATGAAGAAATTAAGTTTTCTGCAGACAGGTTTTTAGCGAACAAATGGCTTTTTGCAAAAATTAATAAACATTTTCAAGCTTGCTCAGGGCTAGATTTATTCGTCATTACTTCATCATTTTTTTTTCTACTGAACTATTGTAATAGATCGATCTTAATGTTCCACGTCTCATTTTATAGTTATTTCGAATACGTACATTTTTTTATACCGATTTTTTTTCATATAATCAATATCTTTCGTTTTATAAGTAAAAAACGCTTTTTGCAACTATTCGATTTTTTGTCGCATATTTTCTTCACAAGTCTCGAGTTTCGAACATACGCATTTCTTTTCTGATGGTCTTTTGAGACTTTCTTTTTTGAAAAAAAATGCTGATTTATAATTTTTTTTTAAATTCTACTTCTATTGAACTATTCTTGCTACTTGAGTTTATGAAGGAGAGGTATATTATATAATGCATATGAAAAATCGTAAAAATAATTAAATAAACAATTAAATATCTCGTAAACTGTTTTAACATGATTTATACTATTCTGGATTAATGAGAGAGGTACACTTTATTCCTACAATTGATTAAAACTTATATGTTGTTTAGAATATACCCCCCGCCTCTTATTGGTGCCCAGGGCCGCCGAGCGGCCGAGATTGCCGAGAAAGCATTTTCGGTCGCTTGAAACAAGTGATTAGTGAGGAGCTCGCTGTCTCGTTCACTCTCGGCGCGCTGCAGACGAGCACACGGATATGGGCTCGTGCTTATTTATGTGTTACAACGCCGCATCACGATAAACCGATATAGCCGAACTTATAGGCGTGGAAAAATGATTTTCAACGAAATTTACAATATGTTGCATGCCATTTCATTATTATTTGTTTAATTGTAAAAATGTGACTTGTCTCGTACTTATCGAAGTCGTAATTATCGATGAAAGTTATCTTGGAATTTTATACGTAAGAGCATATATTTTACTCGTTTCAACAGCTGTCGAATCATGTGTTTCTGTCCGAATATAGACTCACCTTACGTGCCTTTTACGACCATTTACTGACTATCAAGGGAGGAAAAGACAGTTTTCATCGATTTTTACAAATGTTTTAAAGTAATCTCGTCATTCGTTTCATCCAAATTGTCTTTATTTAAAAATGGCACGTAACATAAATTAATGTGTCATTCCTCGCTTCTGACGTCACGATTCCAACATGGTCGCCGCGACTAATTAGGAGTTGTAAGTCGAAGATAATTGACAGGAACATAAACGTTTACTTTAGTGGTAAAACAGGAAGCTCCAGCGTCCTTTTAATCTTTAATTGTATTCACTAGTGAATAAAATTTAAATTTTCTGTAACTGAAAAGATTATTTAGATGTTAATGAGATTTATATTTGTAATAACTAAAAAATTAAGTGTATTGAAAAAACACTAATTAAAAATTAAATATATTCGTTTATTTCCATTAAATTGTCCATTAAATTTAATGCCCATGTTTATTGTACATATAATATATGATACATTTAAAAAATCTGTAGCTTAGATTTCATTCACATCATTTATTATTTTTCAATTATACATTTTTTACATTTCATTAAAACGTTTATTAATTTTTTATTTAATTTTTATTAATTAATTCATAAATTTTTTATTTCATTTTTTATTAATCAGTTCCTTACATTTCCACAGATTCCTTACAATTCTTAAATTAATTTTTATAATTCATTAATGCACATGTTGATTACATTTAAGATTACTCAATTTTCAATTATATTATATTATTCATTATTTTTCAGTTACTGTATAACCACAAGCTTTAACCGTTACACTAAAAATTTGTGATAGTGACATAAATCCAACAAATATCAAATGTAAATAGAATATAACGTGGAAATAACAAATAATGTAACAGATATTAAACCCTATTTATATTATAATTATATAACTTTATTTTATATTGTTGCGCAGCCGATTCACGAAGTCGCTCTCGCGGAAGCGCACACGCACTCCCGAATCGCCGAAATAAATAACACAAGTATTATGAAAGATGAACAAGATTATTAATTCAGAATGCAGAACAGAGAACACCGCAAAAGATATGAGATGAAACAGATCGTGAGATACGTCCGAACACGCAGAGTTCACATTCAAATCTATCTTGTTAAACAATTGACTTGCTGGTCTCGGCAACGCACTCGCTTGTATATGCCAGGGATGTCGACATGGGCATAACACTGCCCTCCCTCTCGGAAATTGTCGTCCTAACAATCGTGATTTCTTGAAGAACGTCGGCTTCCCGTAGCCACCCTGAACAAAAAAAAGATATCACATCCTACCCGCTTAGAAGTTGCAGCGTAAACAGTGTTCGCTTGGAATATCCATCGTTTATAATTCGAATCCAGTTCTTAATTTGCGATTTTCTAATAAACTAATTGCGTCATCAAACTACGGTTTGCGGCACAAGTTAGTACAAGCCTAGCACAATCTAGCACAACTTTGATTTTTTTGTTTTAACAAAATGACAGTGTTGGGCATTAAAAATGGTTTTTTTTTGCTTCATTTTTTGAAATATCAAAATGTGATTTGCAGCACAACGTAGCACAAACCTAGTATAATCTAGCACAATTTTGATTTTTTTTGTTTTTCAAAATGGTGATGTTAACTTCACAAACATGGGTAACTATAAAGATCACATTAAAAAATTAGGTAGAAAAGATAAGAGCTGATGACAAGAAAAATATGAGGTTTATAATATATGAGTGAGAGGATGTGCAGGAACGATTTCAGGAGGAGATGGAGAAAAATTAATTAGAAAAAGTTGTAATGAATTATATAAGATAGATTTTTAGTTTGGATTTTTACACTCTTATGATAAACTCAAAGTAGGGTGAGGAATATGAGCAAGGAGACTTAAAAAATAAAATTAGGGAGGGTTGGAAATTTGATGAGCACGTGTTGAGAAGAAAAGAGGAGAAGCGATTGGAGGGATTTATGTGGACAGGAAAAAATGAGGTATTACAATAGAAATGGGTAGGATATATAATAGAAGCAACAAAAGTGATATACGAGGAGGAAGGTTTTGAAGATCAGTTAATAAATAAGGAGAGAGATGCAAAGATTGTAAAATTTATAAGGCAAGGTACAACGAGAGATATAAGGAACTGGAGGTAAAAAAACGTAGAACACATTTGAGGAAAAAGAACTTAGGAGAATGGAAAAGAGAAGATGAGATGAAAGCTTGTTTAAATTAATGTGGGAATTTGGAGAAAGGCAATAAATATTGGGTGGGAAGCATAGGAAAAATTATATATTCTGTGGTAGGAGAAAAGATAATTTACAGCACTATGTTGAGAAATGTTCGGAAATAAGAGAAAGGTTTATTAAATTAGAAAACGAAAATGAAAGAATCTTAAGAAGGTAGTATGAAGAGGATTTAGATAAGGTAAAAAGGGAAATAATAAGAACATTATGGAAAGAAAGGGATGAAGCTGAAGGAAGAAGAAAGGATTCAAGTTGAAGAGAGAAAATATAGAGGAAATGTAAGGCTAAAACTAATGATGCAATTTAGAAAATGGTGAAAATAAGCAAAGAGAAATAATGAGTGATTAGAGTAAATAGGCAATAATAATAGGCTATGATAGAGCTGTGATATAGATATTAGAGATAATGTATATTTAGTGGATTAGAGTCTATAATATTAATAGTAGTATTTGAATTAGATATAGGATAAAAGTAAAAAGAAATGAAGTATGTTAAGAATCGAAGTCAAAGGGTTTAATTAGAGACAATAAGATAGTAAAAGAGTGACTATTTAATAATTACACAATAATACATATGTGATAGCATGCGGATGAGGTATGAAAGTGTGAATGAATTAAGTTTTTATATGTAAACCAAGTCCCCTTTTTGGCTGTATATGCTGAAGTGTAATAAATTCTACTCTGCAGTTAGCAACGAAAGCACAAATATTGTACTAATTTCATTTAATAATAAATCAGTTTTTTTACGAAACATTTCCAACAATTTTGGTCCTTTTTCCAATAATTTTGGTCTTTCAAACCGATAAATAGAGCATATCTCGAATGAGTGAGAATTTTGTGAGTGAAACCTAATCGAGAAAGGATAGTTTATCGAGTTATGTGCAATAAGCGGCAATGGACGACATGATCAAATTAAGGAAGCAACAAAGTTACATCAAAGGCAAGCTAACCAAAATCGAACAAGCACTAAGCAGTTTCAGAACCAAGCAGCGGTTACGGTCGAGGACGCTGAGGTTCGGTTAGAAAAATTAGATCAAATAACATTTTCAAGCAAGTTTCAAGAAGCACAGCAATAAATTATTAAGAACATCGAGGAGCCATCAGTGGCCGACATTACGACATTATATTGAGGCCGAGCTTAACGAAAGGAACATCGCAGTTAGAGTAGTACTATGGCGAATCATAAATACATCAAGGAACGCTCACATCGACGATAGACCGATTGAAAATGATAGTGTGCTCATGCAACTTCTACAGAGGTAAATGATGATGATGGAAAGATATCAGACGAATGGCGCAAAACGCCGGCGCTTTCTTGTACGCTAAGGAAACGTAAGATGACGGACCGCTAGGGACTTTACTACGAATGCATACTGGGATACTGCAACGTTTGTCTGATGGATCTACGGATAGCGCTATTGAAAGTCGAGTAAAGTTACCGACGATTAAATTATCATCGTTCAATGAAAAGATCGAAGCAGAAAGAAATCTGAGAGAGGACATGACGGCCCAAAACTTGTAACCGCAAAATGCTGCCGCGTACTACTGTTCTCTGACAAAGTGGATGTAAACTACATAGCAACGTCCACTTTTCTTAGGGTACATTGTCCATTTTTCAAGACTGGATAATCGATATTTGGTTCATATAATCATGCTATATGTAGCACGATTATATGTTTGCATTTAGTGGATCACGTCAACAAATATACAAGAAGAGGTTAGAGGCACCGATTCATAGGGCAATCTTTTATTATACATGATGGAAAGTAAATTGGATCGAGCAATATTACGCGCTTGAGAAAAAAGAACTGATGACTCAATGTCATAATTAAGATGACACCCACTCAAATTTCCAATTTTGATAAGCTAATGGAATTTTTGATACAACGATGCCATACGTTGGAGCGCATGGGCAGCAACAAAAGTATTACACAAGATCAATCTCGTTCACACGGTAAGAACAATCACGCAAAGAATACGACTGACAGAGTCAGTCTTTCTGGCAAGCATGGCGACTGCCGGCACATGCTTCTTATGCGATGAAGCACATTCCTTGCACATTCCTATCATTGCACCAAATTTCTCGCATTGACAGCGTCTCAAGAAAACTCGGAAACTTTGCATAAATTGCTCGAAGAGCGATTATTTTGCCAAAAGCTGTAAACATGATTCAGCTGAGAGTGCGCAGGTAAGCATAATACCTTACTACATCAGCCTACGATGATGAAGCAACCCAAGGAAGTGGAAGCATCGAAATTTTCAACCCCCAATGGCGAGGCAGCATGTCACTCATCCAACATGGGCAAAATAATATATTCATGGCTACCGCGATAATGAACGCTTCAAATTAAAGTTTCAGTGTTCCGATTCGAGTGCTATTAGACAGTGGTAGCGAGTGGTAGCTAACTTTGTAACTCAGAATGTGTGTAATAAGTAGGATTAAAGCGTAGCGCAACATCAGAACTTGTTTCTGGCGTGAATGTCAAGTGCATCAGATTATGAATGTCATTATCAAATCTAAACGCTCTAATTTTCAGATTAACGCGCAATGCCTAATCATCCCAAGAATAACCCGAGGTTTATCCTCAAGAGAAATAGATAAAACGAACTTGCATATTCCTTCCAATTCATATTTTGCCGATCCCGAGTTTAATAAGCATAAAGTGACATGCTATTAGGAGCCAAGTTTTTTTTTTCGAATTATTAGAAATCGGAAAAATGGAGTTAGGCAAAAATAACTCTCTTTTGCAGAATACTAAGTTTGAAGTTTGGATGATAGCAGATCCGATCTCTAGAAACGAAGTAAACGATAACAATACTATGCGAACAATAAACACGCTACATTGTTCATCGAAAATCGCCATAAAATTCTCTTATAATCTCTATCGTATTCACGGATTAGTATCTGCCTGTACATTTTCTCCAGATCGTCAGTAATCGCGATATTGTAAAAATGAAATCTCTATAGTATTTGTATTAGATTGTCTTGCAATGTAGGACCCGTCATTAGTCGGTAACAGCGATTTGAATAAAATTTTAACACAGTTTTGGGAGTTAGGAAACGTTATGAGTAATTCTAAAGGTACGTGATCAACTGACTGAAGAAATAATATGCGAGAAAATATATACAGATACAACAACGCAAAATGAGCAGAGCCGATTTATAGTAGGTTTATCGATTAAACCTACAACATTATTGATGAAACAAGAAATTCAATGTTTAAATCAAATCGAGCAGCGTTTCAAAATTGACAAATCATATTACGAGCGTTATTTACAATTCATGCGCGAATACTTAGATTTGCAGTACATGTCTCTAGTCAAATCTTGCAATGCGGGTGATCAAAAGCGTGTTATTTACTTATTCTATCGTGGAGTGATTAAAGAAACAAGCTTTATTATCAAGTTGCGAATAATATTTGATGCCTCCAGTAAAAACAGCATAGGCGTTTCATTAAATGACATACTAATGACGGGTCCTACATTGCAAGACAATCTAATACAAATACTATAGAGATTTCATTTTTACAATATCGCGATTACTGACGATCTGGAGAAAATGTACAGGCAGATACTAATCCGTGAATATGATAGAGATTATAAGAGAATTTTATGGCGATTTTCGACGAATGAATCGATTCAAGGATATAGATTAAATACGATAACATATGGTCAGGCGAGCGCATCACATTTAGTCATCCAAAGTGTATAATAACTAGCGAAAGAAGATAAGAATACTTTTCCATTGGCAGCAAAATGCATGTTAAACGATACATATGTGGACAATATTATTAGCGGAGTTATAGAATAGAGTTTAGGTGAAGTCAAGGAATTGCAGCATCAATTAACCGAATTGATGGGTAAGGGAGGCTTTAAGATTCACAAGTGGTACTCTAATGTTACAGAAATATTGCAGAACTTGAGCGATCAAGAGAACGCAATAAAATTGGATCTGAAGTTCAATGATACGGCAAGGACGATTTGGATTAGTTTGGGAACCGACCACTGACGTCTCTTTGTATTCACGATAAAATTTTCTAGCACTGTCCGCTCCAAAAGAGAACTCCTTCTGATATTAAAAAATTGTTTGATCCGTTAGGTCTTTTAGATCCTATCATAATCTTGGCGAATCAACTAATGCAAACGGTCTGGAAGGAAGCGATCGAATGAGATTCGGAGCTACCCATTAATATCATAAGCAGAAGCTTACAAGGGAGCTATCCAATTCCACTATTCTCCGCGTATCTTGCAATATTTCTAAATCTTCTTCAGTCAGTTTGATTTTATATAAATTTTGTGACGCTTCTCAAGATGCTTAGAGAGCCTGCATTTATGTCAAAGCATACGATGAGAGGAAACAGACAGCGCAATTATTACGTTCAAAGTCACATGTTGCGCCAATTAAAACTACTTCAATGCCACGCTTAGAACTACATATTAGCACACTACTTCTACCTCGTTTAATAGAAGGTAAGACAAGCCTGCAACTTCGAATTCTACAAGTTTCTTGCATTCACACACAGATTCCACTGTGATCTTACATTGGATAAAGGGTGACGCATCACGATGGAAATCATTTGTCGCCCATCGCGTTTCGGAAATTACCAACGTTCTTCCTGCCGAGGCGTAATCGCGTTAGGAGCGAAGACAATCCTGCGGATTTATTTTCAAGAGGTGCATTTCCTAATGTTCTTCAAAAGCATGTGTAGTGCAGTATGGTGGTCCATCATGTCTCTCCAATGATTCAATAGAATTACGACAGCAAACAGATTTGTCTAAGGCATCAGTTCACAAGCTGAAGGAAATCCAAAGCGAAGAAATAAATCTTAAAACTTCATGTCATATCACAATACAAGATTCCATTTTTCGTAATTTGTATTCTCGAATCTATTCAAAATAGATTAGAAAGAATATTGGCGTACGTTCTCCGCTTCATCATTAATTGCGGAAATAAACACAAAAGACTAGTCGACCGTACCAGCACAGAAATTGAGATTGCGAGGTCGTACTTAATCAGGAATACACAAGTGGAAGCCTTTTAGAAGATTTCGTATCTTCATTTTTTTCTACGCCAATCAAAAAACTTGAAGACATCTAGCAAATTGCTAACTTTGCATCCCCTCTTGGATGATAAGGACTTAGAGTGAAAGATCGTTTATGCCAGGCATCTTTGGCTTTCAATCAGAGACATCCTATTCCGCTGTCCATGCATCATCAATTAACTAGATTACTAATCGAACATAAGCGTCTACTTCATTCTGGTTCGCACTTCTCGCAGCTATTCGTTAGAAATATTGCCCTACGTGGCAAGGACATAGTTTGCAAAGTTTATCACTCCTACGTACGATACTTTCGCAAGAACCCTGATGCAACTGATGGGCAATTTACCCGCGAACCGCATTACACTTATGCTCCTTTCTTCACGTGTGGATTTTGCAGGTTTCATTACCGCATTATAAAGCAAAGGATGAAAACGCAAAACCAATAAGAGCTATATCGCCTTATTCATCTGTTTCGCAACAGGCGGTTCACTGGAGGTTGGTGAAGTTAGTGATTTAAGTTCCGAAGCGTTTATAGCAACTTTAAAACGTTTTATAGGTAGATAAGATTGTAGAGAATCTACAACGACAATGCTACCAATTTCAAAGGAACTCAAGAATTAGCCGAGATGTATAGATTTGCGCAGCAAAGGATCACTTCAAAGCCAGTTGACTATGAAGGGAGTACATGAATCTTCATTCCACCATATTCCCTTCATAATCCGTGGATTATGGGAAGCCAGGGTAAAGTCTTGCAAAAATCTGCTAAGAACCGCAATGAGCAATGCCTTATTCACTTTTGAAGAATCAAAAGTGCAAATAGAGGCCTGCCTAAACTCGCGCCCCTTACATGCCTTGTCTAATGATCCATTCGATTTAGAACCTCTTATTAACATATTATTATATATTGGACATTTCTTTACTGGAGGACCCATTACATACTTACCTGAAACTGATTTCCAAGATATAAATCTCCATCGATTAAGCCGTTGGCAATTAGTACAACGTACTTTATAAGTACACCGTACTTTATACTTGCCTCCATATCAATGGAAATTAGAATCGTTGAATTGCATTGCAGGCATGATAATCACGTCCGTTTCAATTAAAACGTCTAACGGTGTGACAAAACGCGCTATTAATAAGTTATGCAAGTTGCCCATCAACGAAAATGAGGAAGATTACTTATAATCTAGGTGAGCGATATTTCATTTTATATGTAAATCATCGTGTTTTATCTTCTTTCCCCTTTCCTTTCCCTTTTTTTTTGGTTACTACTTAATTTATCTAAGCTCCTCTGTAAGCATTTCCGCGCGTGCATTGTGATGCATTCTAGAGTCCTTATAAGAGAGTCGCGTCAATCTTGTCAAAATTTTCATTGGCTTTGAAGTAAAATGGCGGAATCAATCATCGATGCTATTATATCTTCATTTTGAGTATCGTGAACGCGGTAATTTAGATTTTAGAAATTGTGAGAGTTTATGTTAAATTACAAAATACTGACAAAAGTAGATCAGTTTTTTTATAGCTGAACTAGTTTTACACTTTTGAAAACTGAAATAGTAATGATACGAAACAGTAATGAAATAACACTTTCATTTAACGATACTTTTATTTTACAATAAAATGTCTTGCCATCGTCAATCTGCTATATACTTATATTATAATTTTAAATGCCTTTTTTGATAATATGTTTTAATTATGTTTTAGTAATATTTTCTACGAAGAAGACATTAAAATTATATGATTGATGACAAAGTTAGAATGTTATTTTCGATGCTTTCTTACCACATAATATTTGTACATTTTATACATTTTTAATTCGAAATCTTTATAATAATGTTAATTATAATAATGTTAATGTAATAGGCTTACCTATATATAATTTTGATACATTTAAAATAATTTCATCACTTTATTAATCAAAGCTTCCACCATAACTCTACGCTCTACGTAGTAGAGAGTCTAGAAATCTAATAGAATCCCTTTTAGACACCATTACTTCACATTGACGCAACTCTCTTATAAGGACTCTAATGCATTCGTATGCAGCTGCGATTTTTCATTTTTCTTATTCTATGACTACGCCATAAAGCCCGATCTACATAAGACGCAGAAAAATTGCAAGCAAGCTTGTTGCGTCAGCCAATCCGATGCCTTAATTTTTAAAGTGATGCTTCGAGATTGGCTGATGCAAGAAGTTTACGACCTGCGACTCGCGTTTTGCATCTTATGTAAATCGAATTTAAGGCGAATGCGCGCGCGTATCTTAAGTTAATCAGTTAGCTACAAACTATAATACGAAAATACAAATAATATTGAACTTAATTCGGTTTAACAACAAACCAGTTTTTTACGAAACATTTTCAAACAGGGTGTTAGAAATTTTTCAATCAGACATAAAAAATCACGATAACTCTTAAACTTGATTCTAATGCTTCAGGCGTTACTAACTTTCGTTAAAACTCGTGGGGTGCTACCCAAAACTGTCGATAGAATTGTCGGAACTTCAAAAACATTTTCACCCATCAGGTGTTAGAAAATTTTCGATCCGACATACAAAAAATCACGATATATCTTAATAACTTTCGTTAGAACTCGTGGGATGCTATCTAGAACTATCGACAGATTTGGAAGACAGAACTTTTAAGAAACATTCACTCCTCGGATATTAGAAAATTTTCAACAACCGAGGGATTCTGGCAATTCTATCGACAGTTCTGGATAATATCCCACGAATTCTAACCAAAGTTACGCTCGAAGAACCAACAGTTTAAGAGATATGGCGATTTTTTTGAATGTCTGATTTCTCATATCTGAGGAACAAGAAATTTTTGAACGTCAGTTTTTGATGACAGTTTTGGATAGCACCTCTAGAGTACTATCAAAAGTTATTATCATTTAAAGCGGTAGGACTAATGATTTAGAAGATATCACGATTTTTTTTTCTTTTGTGAAATTGGCACTCCAAATTTTTAATTTTCGATTTTTGTATTAATTAGCCGGGATTTTTCATTTTGGACAGAAACTCGAGAACTCTTCGGGCTGCATTCGGAACTGACAAAAATTTCATTTTTTGAAAAATAAGGTGCCAACTTCACCGAAGTTAAGAAATGGTAAATAATATATTAATTTCAAATTTCATTTCATTTTTGGTTGTTTTTGGTACAAATTCCATCTTACAAACGTATTAGTGCATATACTTTAATCCTGGAAAAGGATTTTCGCATCTATGAAAAAGAAAAAAGTACTTGTTATACAAAAATTATATGATTTAGTCGATAATAGACGGCTTTAAGATCTCCTTAAGAGGAGATAATCCTATCTCTTGTTTTACCAATTAAATCATGTAATTTTTGTATAACAAATATTTTTTTCCTCTTTCGATTTGAAAATCCTTTTCCAGGATTAAAATATATGCATTAATACGTGTCTGGGAAGTGGAATCTATGAGAACGACAAAAATTTCAAAACTGATATATTTTTACTATTTTTTAGTGTAACATGGCATCTCAACTATCAAGTCGTGACAACATTTACTTGATATGAAAGTTTTGCAACCTGTACGTACGAAATAGTATTGCTAGACACGTAGTTTATATGCATAAACAACGTCGAGTTCTTAGAATTAGACGCTTTATCGCGATGAATTTGTTATACGAAAATTGACACGAATGTGCGACTGCGTGTATCATAGATTGCGTGAGATATTGATGTGATAGTACATATATAAAGACATGTTGATGCGCGGCGCGCGGCGCGACCTCTGGTGATTTCGTCGAAATTCGAGATTCCCTTTAAGGATCCCCTCAAATACTGATAAAAAATAATGAATTAAAAAAAAGATTCTACATTGTTATATGTTCTAATTTTATTCAAATATTTTAACATTAAAAAAATGTTTCTTAAAACAAACTTTTATTAAAGAAATGTTAAAATAAACATTTTTTTTAATAAAAAAAATGATTTAACCCATTTTTTTCATGTTTTTAATTAAAAATGTTTTTCAAATGTTAAAAAAAATGTTTTTCAAACGTTAAAAAATCTTTCTTCAAACGTTAAGGGGATGCTGGAGTGCCCTGTTTTATCATTAAATTTTAAAAGCACCTTTCTCATAAC